AGACAAGAAGTACATCTATTATTTGTCTAGTAAGTCCTAGATTCCAATAAACATCTTGAAAGTTTCTTAATGTTACTTGCATGACACATATGTGTAAGTGTGCCCTTTTTATGAGTGCATATTTGCAGCCCATAATGTCTGTATTCCTTGTGTGGAGTTGGCACATGTACCTAACACATCTTAATTCCTCCCCTTTCCCTCTCCCTCATCCTTCTCCCTCCATCGTTTGATCCCTTTCCTATTTGAAAAAGATCTATCTTCCTTGATTCCATTACTTATGTTTTATTTTGGTCTTTATTTATATGTTGGACTTTCATATTACAGAAAGCATGCACTATTTAGTTTTGAGTATCTGGTTTATTTCACGGTTAACATTATGATCTCAAGGTGCCTCCATTCTCCTACAAATGACTCGAGTGTATCATTCTTACAGCAGAGTACTTCTCCACTGTGCATATATTCTACATTGCCTTTATCTATTCACCTACTGATGCACTTTTAAATCAAGGGCACAAGTATCTGCACAGTGTTAATAATATATCATTTTCTTTACTGCAATGAATATCTTGAACTCTGAGTCACTAAAAGCAATCTAATCCCAGGGAAGTTAGGCAAGAAGGTGAAGAGTTCCTAAGGGACCTTAAAAGTTGCACATTTGCTATTTATATTGATTCAAAATCATACAAAAATGATTATTGAACACTTACTATACTCTATTGATGTAAACTCTAAAATGAAAGACTAGGTCCCTATCATCATGAGACATATATAGTCCAGTAGGTGACACAGACATGTGTATATAAATTATTACAAATAATACAATATATACTGTGAGAATTTATATATTTATATATACCCAATTTATATATACCCAATACCACAGTTTAAGGGAGGAGATGTTTAATCTGGCTTATGGTTTCAAGGGACTCAGTACATGTTTGTCTGGTTCCAAGGTAGGAACATAATGATGTGTGATATGTGTCCAAGATTCTTAGTTTGTGGTGGCCAGGAAGCAAGTAAAGCAAAGAAGCAGCTGCAGAGATGAAGGGGCAAGGGACTATGTAAGCCATTCAAGGTCGCCTTCCTGACCCACCCAGACACACCAGGAAATATGCACCACTACTGAATCCCTGGGTGGCCGCCAAGCCAATCAGGCTGACACAATCAAGCTTAAGTGTCACATCCCACCCCTTGTCAACTTGATACCTAAACACATCCCCTTAATCTATACTTAATCCCCAATTAAACACAAGTTGATAATTCTGCCAAACATGACACAAGTGTTTTACTTACAAACAAAAACACAATAATCTCTTCTCCAGTCTCAACAGCTTCAGCATTTGTCAAAAGTCCAAGTCAATGTCTCCTCTGAGACTCAAGGCAACTACTTAGCTGCGAATTTCTGTAAAAATAAAAAAACCATAATTCCAAGGTATGATGGCACAGGTAAACATTGCCATTTCAAAAGGGAGGGATAAAAGGAGAGAGTAAGACCAAAGCAAGGTTCAAACCTATCAAGGCAAACATTAAGTCCTGCAGCTTTGTCTGACATCCAGGGAACACCATGGTAAAATGCCCTAGCCCTATGGTCTCACAATTGCAACTCACATGGTCTCTCACTTGGGCGGTCTCTGTGCACAGCCTGCAACTTTGCTCAGCAGATATTTTGCATTCCTGGCATCTGCAGCTTCCTGCACCTTCACTTCATTTCCGATGCTTCACACCCTGCCTTATGAAGGACTCCTTGCCTGGCCTCCCGACCTTCCTTCGAAATCTGGATGAAAGTCTTACTGACTCCATAACTCTTGCATTCTGTATCCAGTAAAACCAGCGTCACAAGGATAAAACCAAAGTCTCCTGTCAGCAGGAACAGTAACCAGGCCCCCTTGGAGCATGACCTGTAAGTGCCTGGATGGCAGAACATGGTGAAATGAATCCTGGGAAACAATTCCCTAGAATGTCCTCCTCAAGGAAAGGATCCAAGACTTTTTCTCAGATAAAAGGTTTATAGTTTGGTGCCCTTGAGCCTCTGATGGGAGAGGTCTTGATGATTTCTGAGATATCTTCAAGATATCTTTATTCTTGTCACAGTACAAAGTAGTTTTGTTTTAATGGTGCTAATCCCAACAGCCGTTCTTTCTTTGGCTCCAAACTTATATATGATTTCTTTTGCATCAAAATTTAAGTTTTCCAAAATTTTCTTCTGTGTTCTTTGCTTCTAATTCTCACTATACATCTGACTAAAAGTAACCAGAGGTACCCATCCCACAGACTAAACACTGGGGGACCATTCAATTTTCTCTGCCAAATTAATTTGTCTATCACACTTAGTCATAGTCTCCTGCAAAGTTTCAGGACATCAGCAAAATGTCGATAAAAAAATTTTTTTTGCCAGAGTGTAAAACTAACAGCCTCTAATTCAGTTACCAATAAAGTTCTCACCCCAAAGTGAAATCTCCTGAGCCTAAGCGTAAGTATTCACGTTCCTATCACCATTGTAATCTTCTGAACTCTGACCAGAATAACCCATCAAGTTCAGATTACAGCATTCTTTATCCTGTATCTTCATACATTTTCAAACTCTTCCCAAAAACCAGTTCCAAAGGTTTTTAAAGTACATAGTCAGATATAATCAAAAGTAACAACCTCTCTCGTACCAATTTTCTGTATTGGTCAGCTTTCCTAGTGTGTTCTGCCAGTCCCCAGAGAAGCTCCCAAGCTGACCAAATTGATACACTCAAGCTTAACCATCATAGAGATGTACACCAAGTAAATGGGAACATGAAAGATAGATTGATTAATTTGGGCTGGGGTGTACTCTGGGAAGGGGGTGATCCTTAAACTATGCATGAATAGGAATTTGATAACTGGGTAAAAGAAGTGGGACACACTAGGCAGGAAACAGAATTTCAGAGATGTCAGGGTCCAGACCATGAAAAACCTGTTGCATTATACTTAGAAGTCTGGGTTTTTTACTCTCGGGCAGTGGTTTTTAAATTGGTGTTCCTGGTCCAGCCCCATCACCATCACCATTACCTGCAAACTTGTTAGAGTCGCACATCTTTAGTCCCCATCCCAGTCACAGTGAACATCCTGGGACTCAAGCCCCACAATGTGCATTTTAACAAACCCTCTAAATGAATCTGATTATAAATGAATCTGAGAAGTCTGCTCTCAGTGATGAGGAACATGGAGATGTTTGAGTGAGGAAGTGGCTTGGTCAGAGCTAGATCTTTAGAATGATGCCCTGCCTGTGATGTGTAGAGTACTTTGGAATAGGGAAAGAGAATGGCAATGTGTCCGTGGGGCCACGGTAAGCAACAAGATATGAGGTGCTAGCTAGCCATGGGGACCAGAGGAGGGATCCTGCCAGTCTAAGACTCACAGTCTTTAAGGAAAGTAAGTTACAGGGGGCTTCACATCCTTGTCTAAATCAATGGCCAAAGAGCCCTGAGTCATGAAGGACCCACTGCAAGCATCTTGTGTACCCACGTACCCATGTAGACTAGGTTAATTACAGAACCCACATATACAGTCACTACTGCTTTCAACATACACAGTTCTTTACGAGTAATATTTTATATGCTCATTTAAAATAACTGAAAACTCTTCATAACTTTAAGTATTCTTTGTATCTGACATTGAAATGTAGTTCAACAGGGAGACCCTAGACATTTTGAAAATGTAACAAAAGTCCTCATATTTGAAAAAGTTCAACAGGGGCCATACGCCTGTAATCCCAGCACTAAGGAGGCCAACGCAGGAGAATCACCACAAGTTCAAAGCCAGCATGGGTTACGTAGTGAGTTCAAGACCATCTTGGACTACATAGACTCTGTCTCAAAAAAATAAAATGAATAAAAGAAAGTAAAAAATAAAAAGAAAGAAATAGTTCAAGACTGTGGATGCCTCTAATATCACTTGGTTATAATTTTTCTCATAATGCTTATTAGTATACATTTGCATTCATCACGGTGGATATAGCACTTCTTAATTCTTTGTCGCTTTGTTATAATTTTTGTTGATGTTTGGCAGTGTCAGGGAGGGGCAAGGTACTATATTTAAAGTTCACACAGATATGGAAAATTTAATATTGTTTGTTTCTCTGTTATTTCTTCCTCTTTCTGGGGTTGAATGTGTAAGCTCAGCACTGCAAAGACTGTTTAGCTCCTCCCAGTACTTTTCATGGGATTGGAACAGTGGCTGCCAAAAATGGCAATTCTCACATTAGAGTTTTATAGTCTTTTTTAAAAACCCAGATCTCCCAAAGGTATGATTAGTTGAAAGATTAATTTATTTTGCAACCTAATTATAATTTCTTTCACAAAGGAGAGATCCCTTTACTAAAACAGATAACAAACATTAAAAGCAAAGAAGATAGCCCCACAGAGCAAATTACTAAAGAAAATATATACCTAAGTACATTAGCTACATTTCTCACCCATCCTTATATCTTATCAATCATTGCTTAATCTTCGTTGTGTTCTTAGCACTTTGTAGAAAACATCTTCTTCAGGCTTTAGAATCTCTATTCTTCTAGTCCAAGCCTCTGGCTAGCACTGTAGCTTTCCGACAGCTCCTGGCTCTTAGAGGCTAGGATTGGATCTGCCTGTCTGGCTGGCAGGATTCACTAATGGAGAGGGCGTTCCAGCACAGATGGCTCCTGTGCTCTCACCTACCGTATTAGTTAGGGTTCTCTAGAGGAACAGAAGCAAGAGAAAATATTTGTACAATCATGCAGGGAAATGTATTAGGCAGGCCGATGGGATCAGCGACAGGGGAGTCTGCATGCTGGAGAGTTGGAGGATCCAGAAGCTGATTAGTCCAAGAAGATGGAAGCTACCAAACAAGGATCAAGGTTGCAGCAGCGCTGCAGGGATGCAGGCTTGGAAGCTCACCAGAGGATCTGCACTGGAAGGCTGGAATAACTGGAGACCGCTGTGCAAAAGCAATGGCAAAGACTGGCGTTCTTCAGAAACAGGTGCGTTCACCTCTTTCCCCCTTTTTTTTTTTTTTTTTTTTTTTTGTCTTTTTGAGACAGGGTCTCGCTATGCAGTTCAGGCTGGCCTTGAGCTCACTTTGTAGCCCAGGCTGGTCTTGAACTCGCAATGATCCTCCTGCCTCAGCCTCCCGAGTTCTGGGATTACAGGCATGAGCCACCATGCCCAGCTTCTCTTTCCCTTTTTTATTCCGTCTAGGCTACAAGTCTTTTGGTTGGTGCCGCCCACATCTGAGGTAGGTCTTCCCCCTTGAGTATGCTGTCCTACATGTCAGTCATCCAGAGACACACCCGGGACTGTGCCTTGCTAATCTCCTAAGCGGTTGTTAGTCTAGTCCAGTTGGTTTATCATATTAACAACCCACCTATCTACTGCAAGGTGGAGACCATCAGGCTTATTTCTTATTTGAATAAAAATCTGAGGCCCATCTGAGAGGCTTTGGATGCTTCTTACCAGGAGAACTGTACCTATAACTGCTTACTGCCACACGCCCTGAAACTTTCCTTACTCTCAAATTTAGAGTTACACTAGTTTTCCTTCCGAGTGACAATCATTTATAGACACACAGGATGGGTTTGTAACCACATTATAATATGACTTTATATTGTGTTTATGTTAGGGTTCTTCAGGGAAAAAAGAACCAGTAGCATATATAAATGTATAAACACACACACAATGTTGTATACAACTGCAAACTTATTAACTCTTTTCCTAAAACAGGATGCAAAGAATTAGGGTGGTGATATTTACTCTATTCCTTGATACATTGTAACTTAAATAAAGGACCTCAGCTGGTCATAGCTATTTTCTTGCTGGGGTGACCTAAAATTTTGTTCCAGTAGTGATTAAGTTATAAGTAGTCCTGCCTGAATTGGATTGTTATCATTTTTGCTCAACTTTAATGACATGGCATGGAATATTCCACACAGATTCCTAACCTTAACCCTTTGCTTGCTGACTCAGAGACAAGAGGCCAAAGTGAGCAGATAACGTTTTTTTTTTTTTTTTGGTATCTGGAATCGAACTCATGACCATGTGCTTGCCAGGCAGGCGCTTATGCCTCTGAGCTAAATCCTCAGCCCCAACCAGATGGCATTCTTAACTTCCAATTCAATGGGATCAATGTTCCCCTAATAGAAGAAATCCTCCCTTTGGAAAAAGACCTCTAGGCCAATAGAACACAAAGATATAGGAAAAATAAGGGAAAAATTGCTAGCGTATCACTAGAGACACTAATGAGCAGTGCTATTCCCGTTTTCACCCTCAATTATTGCACTCTTGAATTCTGACAGGAAGAAGCAGCACCACATATAATGTTGTGGCCTCCCTCAGAGCCTTGCCCAGCCCTGCAAGGTACCTCATGATGTTATGACTGAGTTCTCAAAAGCCCATTCCACTGGTTCTCTCAGGTCGACTGCTTCAGGATGAGGGCAAAGACGGTGAGACCTGTGATTCCCATGACATGGGTCCACTGCCATACTTCGCTGTAAACCGAGATCCTTTGGTCAGAAGTAATGCCGTGTGGGGTACCATGAGAGTAGATGAGGCATTGTGTAAATCATGGGTGGTAGTTTTGGCTGAGGCACTGTATGTGGGAAAGGAAGCTCTATAACTACAGTATATATTTATTCTAATAAGAACACAGTACACTGTTGGATGGAAGTTGTCCATCCTACCATCAGGTAGCTGGTTGTTGCCTCTGGGGGACAGTACTGTATCAGATGCCCAGTATCAGTCACTGATGCTAGCAGAGTGGGTTCTCTGAAGAAGCTGTAGCTAGGTCAACGTTGATGGATAGAAGTCTACGTTGCTGAGCCCACGTGTAACCTTCTTCCCTGGCAGCATGGCCACTTTGTTTGTGAGCCCATTGCATGATGACAGAGGTGGTTGCGGAGGACATTGACTGAGAACCACAGGGTGAGTCGTCATCTACTTGAATATTAAAATCCTGCTCTGCCAAGATCATGCTGTAATGTGAATACACAGGACAGATGTCCACAGTTTTATCCATTCGAAGAGATCTGTCCACACTTTTCCCCCACCTCCGACTTCTTGTCATCAATTTTCCAATCAGATCCTTCCAAGTCCCTGATCATCCAGCCAAAAACTATTGGCTATAGACCATAAATTAATATATAATTGTATATCTGGCCATTTCGCCTTCCAACCAAAATAAACACACACACACACACACACACACACAGCCCGCTCAACATTTTGCCACTGGAAGGGTTTCTCTTTATCACTGACTGTCACAGATGCCCAAAAAGGGGTGGCAGCTATGATGCTGACCATGTTTTCATGATCTCTGCATGTTGCCCAGAACATTCACAAACTAGGCCCATGTTCTCTTTTCCTCCAACAGATCACAAGGACTGCGCCAGGAAGCCACAGCTTCAGACTGCACAGAGAAGGCAGTGTGGGGTGAGCGAGGACCAGACAGGTCAGGTGCTGCAGATGGCTGAATTTTCTCTTCTGAACAGGCAGGTTTATCATCTGACACGACAATTCCCTCCATGTGATGGAAAATGATCTCTTTTACTCAATGTCTACTGATTTAAAGGTTGATTTCATGTGAAAAACACCTTCCCAGAAACATCTAGAATAATATTTGACTACCTGGGTACTAGATAGTCAAACATTAGCCTAACCACGGTGATGCCTAAAATTAACCTTCCCAGTATTGTGTCCTAAAAGGGAAGCCTGTCTTTCTCTGCTTCTTTCTGCCCTTCTTTATTTCTACAGACATGTCCTGAGAGCCCCCTCGATTCTTGATCCTAGAAGGCAACTGATGAAGTTGAGTGGTCTCCTTGGTAACCACCTCTAACACATAATGGAATACACACTGCATCCTGAAACAGACTATCTTTTTTACAGGCTTCATATTTCCCTTTGCAATTTTAATCCCAAACTTAAAAGAACACAATTTTACTGTCTCTTTTAAACAGAAAAGTAGCAATTTTACAAAGAGTTTGAGACAGAGGCCACTGTTTAGCTGGTAGGTGCTCTAATTTTAATGGTACTGATTTAGAATTTGTCATGATGCAGTCGGATTGGCTCAGAGGCAATTTTTGTATTACAGGGTTTGTCAAGGAAATGAATGGTTTAAAAATATTTTAGAGGAAAAGATTGAACCCACTTTGTAAAATAAACAGTTTCAAGATATTTAGGTGTAAACTAATGAATGAATGAAGTTACACTGCATTTTAAAGATTTATTGAAGCAGGCACAAAGAGTTCCTGTCATCAAAATAAACTTTAAAAGTATGTTAGGTTGAATTATTATATTACACATAAATTATTTGCTGGGGGCAGTGCAGCTCTGGTCATGGGACCACTATTCAGACTAGCACAAATGAGTCTGGGAAAGCCCATCTTGTGTTGTGAGTCCCACATTCTGGTCATTCACGGGTCAGAACTATTACCCAAAACACAGAATGAGTGCCAAAAAAAAGAAATCAACATAGACTAATAATGTGTCACCAGCCTCCCAACACAGCAAAGAACTCATTGGTTGAGCATGTATGCTTTATGATACAACAATGATCATTGTATAATAGCAACAGCACAGTTTGCCATATTGTGTCTTATTGGCTGAGAGCACATGATTTCAGTGCAAGAGGGAAAAAAACCAGCTGTTAAAATAGATTATAATAGATGGCTGTGGAGGTATTTTCTTAAAGCTTAAGCACATTAAATATTTCAGAGACAAATAGCCTTATAATAAATTAATGCTCTGTGGGGACTGAACCAAGTATAGCACGCATGAATGTGAAAAACTATTTTTTATTACAATCAGTCTTTAGTGCAGACTTTTTTATGATTTCAGACTTTACCAGTCATATCATGCCAAATTGTCCTGGGGATTGCTAGATAAGAAAATGTGTATTTAAAACAGAGTTGACCGCTTATGTAGAATTTTCTTATCAGATGGAGTATTAGTGTGAACTTAGAAATTCCCAGGGACTGGTTAGATGGTTGTCTGATTTTATAAATAAAGTTTTGTTGGAACACAGCTACAGCCTTAGGTCTTCGTTATGGCTGCTTGCACAGCATGAGAATGGAGTTGAATAGTTGTGGCAGAGGTCATTTAATCCTCAAAGTCTAAAATACTCTCTATTATTACAGACAAAAAAATTGTGACCCCCACCCTACCTTTGCTGTAGACACATTCCTAATAGCTTTGTTCTTTTAGACGGGGGAATTTTTCTGGACTTAGAGTACAGACTGAGATAAATTACTTACTTTCCCCCGCAAATCTTCAAAACTAAACCACTCCATCATCCATTTGACTGTTTCAAGGAAAGAATTACCTAAAGCAGCATTACCCTATATATAGTTCAAACTTCTTAAGAAATTTTAAATTTAAAATGTTTAGTAGCCACCTAAAAGAAATATACTAAATTACTGTTAGTAGTATTTTGTTTAGATTTAATTTAATCCTGATCAAAATTCCAATGGTATATGTCACAGAACTAGGAAAAACAATTCTAAAATTCCTTTGGAACCAGAAGAGACCTAGAATAGCAAAAGCAATTCTGGGCAACAAGGCAAAGCAGGGGGCACCTTGACTTGAAATTATACTACAAAGCTACTGTGATAAAAACAGTATGGTACTGGCAAAAAAACAAAACATAACACAGATCTGAGAATCATCGAAACAGAGACTACTCCATATATGCTCAGCCACTTTATCTTGGACAAAGGAGCCAATCACATTCACTGGAAAAAAAAGATAGCCTCTTTAATAAATGATGCTGAAAAAAATGACTTTCCACATACCAAAAATTAAAACTAGACCCATTTCTTCCACCATGCACTAAACTAAAGTTGAAATGAATCAAATATTTAAGTGTTAAAACAGAAACACTAAATCTGCTGGAGAGAGAATAGGTAGAACTCATGAAGACACAAGTGTAGGCAAAGACTTGATGAACAAAATTCCCATCACATAAGAACTATCACAAAGAATCAACAACTGAGATCTCATGTCATTAAAAACCTTTGCACAGTAAGAGAAAGCAACAAAATGAAGAGACTACCCACACTGTGGGAACATACGTTTACCCACTCTTCCTCAGACAAAAGACTAATATCCAGAATATATAAAGAACTTTTTTAAAAAGTCAGGTTCACCATATTTAAAGATCCAATCAAAAAATGAGCATCTGAAATGAATAAATACTTCTCAGATGAAGAAATAGAAATGGCAAATAAATATGTGAAAGAATGTTTAACATCACTGGTCATTCAAGAGATGCAAATTAAAACAACACTGAGATTCCATCTCACTCCAGAAGAATGGCTATCATTAAAAAATTAACCAATGACAAAGGCTGGTAGAGCTGTGGAGAGAAAGAAACCTTTGTCCACTGTTGGTGGGAGTGCAGACTGGTGCAACCCCTGTGCAAATCAGTGCAGTGATTCCTCAAAAAACTAAAATTACAAGTTCCATTCAACCAGCTATTTCCCTTCCTAGTATCTTCCCAAAAGAGTTAAAAGCATCACACCACAGTGATGCGTGCACATCCATGCTAAATCTTGGAAACAGCCCAAACGCCCATTAAATGAGGAATGGATAAAGAAGGTCTGGACTTTTTCATACAATGGAGCACTACTTTGCCATAATGAAGGACAAGCCCGAGGCATTCGGAGCTAAATGGATGCACCTTGAGACCATACTCTTAGTGAAATGAATGAGACACACATGTCCAAATATCACATTGTTTCTCTGATGCAAGAAACTGAGAGTGTGAATAAGGACCACAATGTATAATACATAGTGGGAAATGGGAAGAAAAATGTTCAAATGAGGAGAGGGGTGACAAGAAAGAAAGAGAACAGGAGGAAAAAATGGAAGCAAAGCTTTTTTAAATATAGAAGAAGGAGGCTTAAAGGCAGGAAAGGGAAATAGGGAAAAAAAGCAAGACATGCCATACGCAGGTACAAATTCCCATGAGGAATGTTATCACCATGGATGTCTAAAGTGTGCCAATAAGAACAATAAAAATATTTTACTAACCCAATATATCCCGATACTATTTCAACATACACCCAATAGATAAAGTTAGTAACAATGCATTTTCTTTTTGGTTGTTCTAAGCTTTTAAAGTCGGGATGTAATTTATATTCACAGCATACCTTGAATCGAAATAGGCATATTTCCCGTGCTCAATCACCACCTGCAGCTGGTGGATAGTCTGCTGGGTAACTCAGGCCTAGAGGCAGGAAAAAGCTAATGGCTTTCTGTTACATTAGCTTCTCATTTTTGTCATTTCTTTGCTTAGCTATCATTCAACTTTAAAAATTATAGGTTAAACAAAGGTAAGGCAGAGACCCTATTCTGAATGAGTTTAATTTGTTGAAATATGTATATATTTTTGTGCAGTAATGTGTCACTTAATGAGATCATGAGGCTATTTCATGGGCAAACAGCACACACACACAAAGATGGCTACAACCTTTGGAGGTGATACAATCGCTCGGAACCACCATCATATACATGACTCACCACTGACCAAACCACCATTGTGTCGTGCATAACTGTGCTTATTCTGCACTTTTCTGAGTATCAAGATGTGCGTGGATGGTAATAGATATTAGAAGTAGTCTGCTAGACTTATGGAGGAACTACAATTAACAGAGAATAGACCTGATCAGGAGTAGGCTGCTAAAGAAGGAGATAGGAGGGAACTTTAATCTTAGAACATGTACACATGCCTTCATTTTGGTTTTTTTTAAGCCAGAAAAGGTCGGCATCCACAAACTGATGACTCCCTAGAGATGGATGCTCTACACATTTGCCACTGGAGTATAAGCTCTTTGGGGGCAGGGGCCCAACATTCCTTGAATTAATGAATATCTGAATGTAGTATTTTTTCTTCCTTCTCTTTTTTTTCCCCTTTGATTTCTTCTAAAGAGATGTCTCCTTTCCATTTAGTTCTCATTCAAGTGTACCTTCAAGTTTATGGAGTTATGTCATTAGTTACTAAGCCATATATCAGAAGATTTCCCATTGATCAATATTGTTGTGGTGTATTAACTAATAGTCAGCTTATAACACCCAGCTGAATTGAGTCAGCGTGGTGCTGGGTGTGGGAGCCCCACCTGAGGATTGTTGCCAACAGCATAAAAGAACTGGAGGGGAGCATTGTGTGCTGTTGATTCTCCTGGAGAAGCTCGTCATGCTGGCTTTCCTGATACAAACCCAGCTGTTCTCATCGTCAGAGGAGCTGGGGTCCTCGCTGTTGCTGAGGATGGCTGTGATTCTCTCTGGGGGAGCTCTGGTCCTTACCTTGAGTGTTGCTTCCTGGCTCCAGTGCAGATCCATTAGCCTGCTGGCTCAGATCCTTTACCTGCTGGCACATACTTTCTAGCTTCCACTACTAACCTTTAGCCTTCTCAGTGCAGATCCTTGACATAAACTTGCATGAGACATTTTGGTGGACTCTAGGCCTCCAGCTGGATTCCTGGAGGACATTGCCATGGGCTCTAGGTCTTCAGTTGGACTTGTGCAGAACATGGCTGTGGGATTCAGACCCTTGGCTAGATTCTTTGCGTCTCTTGTGTGTGGATAGCTCTCTTACACTTTTCTGCATTTGACTTTGGGAGTTAATATTATAAGATAATCCTATGAATTATGTGTCCTGTATGAAATCTATTCCCTTGAAAACTCTACAACAAAATTGGTACATTTTACATCCAACGAAGTGAGGCAATGGGCTCATGCTCATGCAATTCACTGGGCTCACCATGTTCCTCACCACCCAGACAGTGACTGGATTGATGCATGAAATGGTCTTTTGAAGACACAGTCATAGTGCCAGCTAGGTAACAATAACTTGCAAGGCTGGATTAATGCACTTCAAAAGATTGCATATGCTTTGATTCAACATCCACTATATGGTACTGTGTTTTCCATAGCCAGGATTCATGGGTCCAGGAGTCAAGAGGTGGAAGTGGGGAATGGTACTACTCACCATTACTCCCAGTGATCCACCAGCAAAAGTTTTGCTTCCTGTTCCTGCGACCTTATGTTCTGTTGGCTTAGAAGTTTTGGTTCCAGAAGGGAAAAGGTTTATACCAGGAAGCACAACAATGATACCATTGAGCTGGAAGCGAAGACTTCTCCCTGGTCATTTTGGTCTCCTCATGCCTCTATGGACACAAGCTAAAAAAGGAGTCACAGTGTTGTGGGGGAAAATAAGAATATATGTGGAGTGCACAAGATCCCTTAGGGTGCCTCTTAGTATTACTGTGCCCTGTTATTAAAGTCAGTGGGAAACTACAGCCACCTGTCCATTCCGAATGACAAATGGTCCAGAGCCTATAGGAATGAAGGTCTGGGTCACTCCATCAGAAAAGAACCAAGAGCTGCTGAGGAGCTTCTTGAAGCCCAGGAGAATACAAAATGGGTAGTGGGAGAAGATAGTTCTAAATACCAACTATGGCTCCATGACCAGCTATAGAAAAGGGGGATTGTTATCGTACTATTTCTCTCCTAATATGTTCCTAATGTAATATAAGGTTGATACACATAATATTGATTCTTAAGGATTGTTAAGCCTATGTTATAATGTTCAAGTTACGAAATGATAAAAGTAAGCATCACCCAAAGAAAACTTATCTTCTGTTCTGGGGAGGGAATTAATATATTTCCATTTGTTTGAAGGACAGTTATAACATGTTAGGCATAATTATGAGTGCGTCTTTGTATCTGGAAACTGATTCAAAGGAATTTGTCTGGTTGCCAAGTTGACAAGGGGTGGATTGTAATGGCTGATTGATTGTGTCAACTTCAGAAGGTTAGAAGTCTGACTAAATCTGCTTAGTAATGCTACACCCTAGGACACAGAGGACACACTTGTTGACTAGACAGTGCAAAAGGGAACTTAGTAAGGATGGACTTGGTTCTGTTCTTCAGAGGAGCTCCAGTCTTTGCTTTCACCTTGGACATCATCTCCTGGCTCCTAGCACAGACTCTTCAACTTCTGCCTCGGATCTTCCAGCCTTGTGGCATAGACCCTTCAGCTCTCCATTGTAGACACAGACCCAGTGACCTCCTGAGGTGGACTTACATGGGACACTGCAGTGAAATCCAGACCTTGGACTGAAACCTTCAGTCCCCAGTGTGCAGACACCCTCTGCACACTTCCCCATCCAACTCTGTGGCTGACCATCCTGAACCAATCTTGCATTTTCTTATACATTTGCAAACTAGCATTATATCTGCTTCTCTAGTAAAACATTAATACAGTTGTCCATTTTTATCATTCTGTGCAATCTGTTTATAAATGTGCTACCTTTGATTTCATTAAAGATACCCAGAAGGTAGAGATTCTGTCTATAGCAAGAGCTAGATTAAGAAATGGAGAAAATTTGCATTAGAACATTATATGTGCATATGCATGTGTGTGTGTTGGTCATATTGAAAATATGTTTGTACTTAAACATAAACTTATTAAATAACTGCCATCTATTTACATAATTCACCCACAAGAGGGGCAATAAAAATCATATACCTTTAATACTCTTTAAATTCAGAAGCAAAATATTTGGATATTCTACAATGGATAGAGGTAGCCAATATTTCTGATAAACAGAGAGCCCAGTGCCAAGGGAGAGAGAAGGAGAAGAGGGAGAGGGACAGAGATAGAGACAGAGGGAGGGGAGAGGGGAAAGGGAAAAAGGGAGAGAGAAGGAAGAAAAAGGGGAAGGAGGAGAGAGAGATGAACTTAGCAGGAACTGGGCCTCCCTTATTCACTGTAGGCAGGATACAGGAGGGGGACAGAATTTTTTGCCATGGCCATTTTCAGCTCTCTCTTGCCTATAGCAGACATTATCACCTATTCTGAAGGAAGGGACCTCCTCCTCATCCTTCTCATTAATTATTAGCATATTCATACTGTATGAATAAGTTTTACAGCTGTGAGTGCAGAAACTCGGGAGACAAAACGCTGTAGGAAGGCAATATGAGATGACAGGCTGGCATGGAAGACAAAACCTACTTGACATCTCTGGTGTCCAAACCAGGGCTGAGAGCGCAAGAGAGTGATTAGAAAAAAGTGCTGATAGTGTTCAATAAAATGTCATTTGTGGAGACTCAGTAATGGTCTTAAGAAGCTCCAAAGAGGTGAATAAGATGCATTTGTCATGAGATGGGTGAAGAATGGGGAAGCACTAAAACAAAATAACAGCCTTTAAATCTTTATTGAGCAATTATTGTGATAGTTAACTGTTGTGTCAACTTGAGTAAGAAATCCGTGGCTGACTGGCTTAGTGTAGTTTTGGGTGAGGCTGAACGGATTGCAGAAGGCCCCGGCTGTAGGTGGCACCTGCTAATACGGTTGTAACCTGATTGAATAAAAGTAAGAAAAAAGAAGGAAAGAATCTCACTTCAGTTGCTTCAGAGGAGCTTCTGTCTTTGCCATCACTCATATTATATTAAAACTGTCCTCTCGTGAGCCCTAACTATGAAAGTATCATGAGGACTAAGATTAGCGATTTAAGAATTTTCTCACCATTTTGGTGTTCTAAATATTTGGAGATTTTCTATTTTCAAATCTCAACTTAGTTATTTTCTGCCCATTTTGGTGTTCTACATATTTGAACATTTTTCATTTTCAAATTCTTTATTACGAACTGCAGAATTTTGGAATAATGGAACCTATTTGAACCAGGCATGGTGGCACTCGCTGGTAATCCAGTCCCAGCCTGGGGGAGGGTGAGGAGAGAGATCACAAGTTTGAGCCCAGCCTGGGCAGCTTAGTTGACTTCGCCAGACACTATTTCAAAATAGAAAATAAAGGGAGGAGGTAGCTCAGCGCAACAGTCTTGTGTTCAATAATCCCCAATACTACAAATTAAATAAATAAGTAAATAAATAAATGGACTTGGGGGTGTAACGGTGCAAAGGCCCTTGGGCTTAATCCCTAGTACCACAACATGATGACAATGACAACTATTATTACTACTGAACCTGTTCCAAAGGAAGGGACCTCTTCCTCATCCTTCCCATTAATTATTAATCTATTTATACTGTATGAATAAGTTTCACAAATCTACACACTTCCGTTTTCTTACATAGTCCCCCTGCTAGCATTGTGTTTACTGTTGCTTTGTTTTCCCTGGGCATTGCTTTTTAATTACAAAAGGCATCTAAATGAATATTGGCCCTGCTGCTCTGAAGTTCATTTGCTGCTTATTGACTTTTTGGTGTTGTAAGCAAAACAGCATTTATTTTCCTATCAACTTGACTATTCATATGATGTTATTCACTTTAGGTCATCTTTCGTAGAGTGTAGTGCTCCACCCTTTTTATTGTCTGGGTTCTTGTTACTTATTTTTAAACAAAGAATTCATTCTACGAAGAAAAAAGCATACAATCTTAGCTGCTGTTCTTATATATTTTAAAGAAAACAATACCTATTTTTTGCAGCAATAACTCACCTACCTAGAGGTCATTTTTCCAATAATCTCGGTCGTAAAGAACACAGCTCAAAGAAAAAGCCACCGAGAAGTTAAAATAAACGCCATGGAGCCGTTCTCTAAGCTCATGGACTTTATTCTCTGATGTTCAGAAACTATCTTCTCCCATTTGATACACAACCCTCACAAATCTGGTGCGCTGCTTTTTTTAGCCCACAAAAGATTAGTAAGAACTAATGCGAAAGAGATCAAGAGGCTCCCAGAAATTGACAAGATGATTAGCAATTTAAAAAATAATAGAAAAAGAATTAGATGTGAGAACTCAAAAGTTATGGCAATGAGGGATTATTTTGTATTTGGTCAATTAGTCCTGCTGTAATCATAATCTCTATGGCCCTGGAAATCATCTATGTTATTTTACATTCAATACTGTCTATTGGAGAAGAGGTGGGAATACAATCTAAGAGGCTTCTTGATAATGCAGGTGTTAACAGTGAAATGGAAAGAGGATGGGATGTGCGGTGAAACCGATCTTTTTTCTTCTTAGTCCTTTCTACTTCCTGTAGGAGCTAACATCCCTGAGTCTAATTTTCTTTACTTACAAAATGGAGAGAATAATTAAGGAGATAATGTTCGCAAAGCACCTACATAATAAAGCTGGATTCTGGAATCCCTCAAGGAGTCTAGAGAACCAAATCTGAGGTTAGGAGTGGAAAGAGGAAAATTCAAAGAAGGATGGCGCTGAGATGAGATGCAGGGTGACATCAGAGGGGAAGCTACACGACCACCTTTGGAGGGTACGTAAGAGAAGGAAGAGGGCTTCCTGGAACCCCCCTTTAGGACTGACAAGGTACTAGCTGGTTGGGGAAAGATTTCAATGAACCGTAAATGCTCTTTTTTATTTCACCTTCAGATCACATGGTGTTCCTCATTGGATTCCAAGAATGTGTGCTGTTCATTCATTGGCTCAGCTTTCAACAAAGATTGTGCCTATTTCATATCAGGCCCTGAGCTCATTGCTAGGGATACAATAGGAAAGTAACCGTGATTGTTAAACTCATATCAGGACTATTTCCTGCTTTGCCACAAACAAAATCTTAGAAAATATGTGTGCTCCCCACTGACACAATATGGATGTGTCAGACTTGAGTTGGCATCAAATTGGGCCAACATTTAATTTTTTTAATTAAAAAAAATTTTTTAAAGTTTTGAATGTAATAAAATACAACAAAGCAAGACAGAACAAAGCCAATTGAAACAATGCAGTAAAATTGGTACAGAACTTCAGAGCAGCATATCGGGATAACAGTAATAGGTTCCATAGTATACCCTGTTATCATCACAATAGTTGTCCTTTCAATCAGGTGTAGCAAAATCAAAAACAGAACATTATAAAACCTATCAAAAAAGAATACTGAACAGAGCAAAACAATTAATCAGAACAAAGCAAAACAGTAAAAACAATATTTGCCTTCAAAGACAAGATAGAAAGAAATCCCCCATATTTGCTATACTGTCATCCTCCCAAGAGATGCTCAGATCTCTGGCCCCAGGTCAGCACAATCAACCAAACAACTAAATACAAGCTTTTAGTTGCTTTATGTATCTTAGTTGCTATCAACTCCTGCTGTCCTCACCATCCAGTTGCTAACCGGTGTGGGGTGGAGTGGAACATTTGATTCTCTGCCCTGCAAGGTAGGCTCACAGGAGACACTCACTTCTCTCCCTGGTGCGCCCACTGGTCGCTTGCACCACCGCTGCTTACCAGGAAGGCAGATGGGTTGCTTTCTTGCTCAGTACCTCAAATTCCAACATGGCTTGATTAGGCCAACATTTAACAGCAAGAAAAGGAAATCAGGGCTGGGGTGAGTGTTTCCCCAAGTACAGAGAATTCAGTGAACTGAGGAAGATATGGGAAAGAGGCCTTGATCTTCATGGGCAGTCAGCAAGGAGAACACTCCGTTTCCATTCATTATTGGTATTGATTAGTGAGGCTTCCACCTTAACAAAGGCCTCCCAGACTGGTTTTAGGCCACCATGAAAGAAAGTCCTCTTCACTAGAACGCTACAACCTCTGATTTTCACAAGTGGTCTTTATCTACTGACCTAAGGTTAAATTAGATGTTCACATTAGGCCAGTTCTCCGCCATCTCTATATTTTTTGGTGATACAGAAAATTGGACTCAACCAACAGCTGGATGCTAATTGGAAAGGAGAGAGAAAAATCAAGAATAACTCTTAGATTTCTGATCAAAGCATCTAGGTAGATGATGAAGTCATCTCACTAAATTGGGAGAAAGCTAATTTGAGCTTAGTGGATAGATTAGGAAATATAAATCAATCATTTATCTTTGCACTGGAGGTATCATTGGTGAGCATGTTTGAAAAAATAAATTTATATGCAGTGAATAGAAGATATGATTTTATTGCTAAAATGATATTTAATTATTGATGACCGTAAAGATTCAATAAGTTACCAAAGAAAAGGTAGTTTTTAATTCAGGGCAGACAGAAAGGAGGTCATTGAGATTTCCCATATACATAAACCAATATCTTGTTAGGGGTGAGCCATCCTCTCCCATGCACTCAGACTATAAAAACTAAGACTAAAACTATTAAGACTAAGACTAAACTGAAAGATTAGACTATGACTATAGATTATCCACTAAGTTTAATGATGTCATCCACATGTCCTTGATACTATTGGATCAACATTAGCTAAGCATCTATGCTTGTAATTTTACTGGTTGATGATAATTTGACCAGCATGGTACCCACCTCTCTAAAACTTTGCTCTACAAAACTTTCTCAGAGAAGTGGGCTCATTGGCAATCCACTTGCAACCTCTCCTGCCTCTTAGGAGCAATTCTTACTCCCCCTTTTTATTTCCTGTTCCTATTCCCCAATAAATTTTCCTACTCTTAAGAAAAAGAAAGGAGAAAGTCCTTGTAATGATTTTGGGATAGCTGGTCACAGCTCTGCCAAATAAAACATAAATATCTCACATTATCTTAGAATATATTTTTTCTTATTATTGATTTTGGCATTGGCAAGTCGTTGAGTTATAATTTGAAGACTCCAGAGAGCCCCAAATGGTCACCTGCTTCACTTTACTAATTGGGAAATGGAAGCTCAAAGTGGTTAAACCGTGCTGATAGTTTCTCTATTGCGTTGCAGCAGAGTTTACTGGA